CATTTTCTTTCTAGAAATCTTTTTATCGAAAGTTGCTGCTAAACAGATATTCGTCATAATTTAACAAAGTTCAATTCAATAGAATTTATTTCACTTAAAGCAAGTTTCCTCAATGTAGGTACATTTGATTGAACTCTTAAACAGATTTCCAGACAGTTTTAGAATACTGTTTGATATTAACAATATTTAAAGTGAATCCTAACTAAGATGCTTTTCCAATAACTTTGTTTTTATTATTTTAAGACTGAAGAATTCTCAATAGTTCACCAAGTCGAATAAAGCTATTGTATGTCTAAGAAGAAAAGAGAACTAGATGTTTGTTTACCAAGGTTTCATATAGACCTGAAAGACCTTGAAACACATAATGAATGCATTGAGAACATCTTCAAGTATTGTGGGAAAGGCAATTTAGTTTCCCAAAATCTCTTACTTCATTCAATCGATGTTTAAACTGGATTATATATGCCAAATTTGGTAACGGACCATTCCATGGATGTGGTGTGTAACGTGGCCATAATTGTTGAGTTAATAAATCAGTAGATTTTATCCATCGTTCGCATGCTTCAATGCTTAGTTGAATAGCCTGTTTAACCTAATTATTATGGTGAACAAATAGATAAATTTGGAAAAATTATACAATCCATCAAGGAAGATAGAAGAAACTAGTTTTAGAAGTTTAAACCCCCCCCCTCATTGTTTCATAAACCCTTACCGTATACATGTGCCGTACAAAAATGAGTAAAGAGGACTTGTATTAACTTTTATTCAAATACTGCCAGTCAGTTTAGTAATTTGAAACAGAACTGATCAGTAAAGTATCTGGATTCATCCATTCTCCTAAGCTGAATATTTTCAACAATCTAAGTTCAAGCATACTATTGTAAGTAATAACTGATACTTTAAGTTCAAAAGCAACTATTTGTAAGATTTCAATGAGTGTTTTATGAATAGATAAAACCATATAATTTCCTCTGAAAGTAAAATTTGTGATTTAACTAGCGCTATAATCGACACTGATAGTTTAATCAAGTTAGTCATGCAACACAAACTGCTGACCAACATGAATAATTAAAGATTTGCATGATTCTGTAACATTCTGCACTGAATGTCCGCAAGTATATTCTTAATGAGCTCGATTTTAATCAATGAAAACATTCATTCGCTCTTTATACAACCAAGATTTGGTAAGGAGTACTGATCAATAAAATAATTGATATACAATGATTCGCAACAGCAAAGAAAAGAGATATACAATTTGGATCGAATAATTTTAGAATTATCAATATAACGTTTTTCCAATATTACTGAGTGCCGTTGATATTCAGTAGATAAAATGAGTGGTAACTACTAGCAGTGAAAGATTACAAACCATTTTAATTTACAAGACCAATGAAAATCAAGAAACACTTGATAATCATTTCATCCTTGCATGGGACTCATCATAAGTTCACACTCACAACCCAACTAGGAAACGAATTCAAGACCCTAAGGTCTAACAGAGAGACCTAAACTTCTAAATCACTGAACTGTTATCCAGTTGTTTATACTTTTAACTTCCCATAATCTTCAAAACACCGCACTGAGATAAATATCGTATAGTTAATTCTGATGAAAGTTAGCAACCGGTGGAGTTTAGTCATGTCGAGTGTGAGTCATTTATCAACCGAAAACGATGAAAGATGGTTTCAGAGTATCGCGAACTGGTGGAAAATAGAAATGTGATCTCAATAATAATCTCAGAACTGTTCGCCGTAAAGTAAATCAAATTTTATTACCGTAACACTTCAGTTTCTAAACGCTCCTTCAAACACATCCTTGTCTAGATAACATGACTTTAATATAAAGCTAGGTGACGCAGATCATGTTGAATAACATGTTCTAATAACATCATATATATAAATCTGAAATTAAAATATTAACAACAAGATTTACCCAGACTTCAATCCCAAACGGAGTCAACTTTTGAAACACAAAGAAAAAAGATACGTGTTAACTAGTTATATGGCTTTTTCAACTGAAAATACTTACAGTCATGTAGCCAACCTTTGACATAGTTTCAGGTTTGATTTTGCCAAAGCTTGTGGCTGAACATCTACATCGAAGAGAAGAAAGTATCTACTTGCAGGGCAGAAAATGTTATTTGCTTATTGAAACTACTTATGAGTAGTTCAATGACTATCAACCAATTTTAGCCTTTGTCAAAATAGCCATGTGGATATATTTACAGATATCACCACTCACTCCTCCAAATAAGTTTAAAACCTAAAAAATAGTGTTCATATTTACTGACAAATTTGTTATTATTTTTCACGATGGTCATGCAAAAGATATGTGTGGGTCTTAGAATTATATACTGTCTTGGTTTAAGGATGTACCTATTCATGACATAATATCAAGACGTAAAATGACCATGAGCTGATTCAGTACAGAACGAAAACACTTCATTCAAACCTCCATATTTACATCAAAAATAAAATAACTCGAAAATTTGCCTCTGGTATGCCATCCATAAGAAGCTCTAAGTGGTAATTATTATTAATTTACAACCACGGAACTAAACTAGTCACTATATTTTTGTGATCAGAAGATTTTTAGTGCTAAGGAAATGTGATTTATTCGGTTTCAATCTACTCACTTCATCAAAAGGCAACGTCCATAAACTTGAGATGGTTATTTTGGTTTTCTCTGACAACGTCTGAACACTTCCCAGAAAACCTTGAATCATGCGTATTGTCCAGTAACTCAAACTTTCAATAAGTTGGCGCATCCTATGCTCTGGAAAAGGTTGTTTTACTCGCGGATCAGTGCACCTCCATAGTTCATCCAACGTGTCTATCAAAAGCGAGTCAAGAATGTCAATTAACTCTGTTAAAAAAACGCCAAAAGTAGGCTGTTTTTGAGTGGAATTAGCACAATGAGTAGACAATCCTAATGAGTCAATCTTTGAATCCAAGGCTGACTGAGATAAAGACTCAATACGATTGCATTCTTTGGCTGGGCTTTCAAGAAGGGATGCAAAAAACTCACACTGCTTCATCTCATCTACATTATTATTCGAACAGCCTCTTGATTTATTGCGCCAATAATTAAATTCATCCGTGAGTGTGAAAATACCTAGACAAAATATAGATAACAAGGACAGATAAGACCGTCCTATGATTAAACTCAAGTATAAATACAAACACACAAAAGAATTCAAAGCTAACTTTCAGGATTTTTGATGACTACATTGTGGTGACTGGAAATGCCATTCAACTTAACAATTCAAATTGTCATACACAAATTTTAACCTTAAACTAGTATCCTAAGGTTTTTGTTGGTAAAATTTTACAACTAATATAATGTAATATACTTATCTTCAAATAAACTGTTTGGATTTTAAATGTCTCTCGGAGTGAAACCTTACAAAGATATCTCCAAAAAAATAAAAACAAATAATCTTGCTAGTGAACTGACTATATTTTTTGGAACCGGTAATAAGCTAAACTAATGTCGTAATAATTATCAGTAAGTTTATGGGTGTTAGTGCCGGAGTTAGTCTTGGTAGTTCTAAATAAATTGAGCATTGAGCTGAAAGTTATGTTCATACATCTGGTAAGAGAACATAATTATGCTCAAGGAGCCTTTCCTGTATTCCAAAGTTTATAAACATGTCACAGGTAAAATATATGTAAACCCATTGAAATATCTCTGGGCTGTGGCCAGATCGTCTAGCAGTTAAACCATTGAATGTCTGACAATTTACCTGTCTTATTCAAGGTCAAGGATAAACATGTATACCAACCAATTGCGCGCCATGGATATGGGCATGATACAGTGGTTCCGCCTTGTAGTTTTCCCTACTTTCAATGTTACTGTATACTGTTGCTTATTGAGATCGTTTATAGTAGCTAACAACAGAGTTATAGAGATAGAACAATCCAGGTTAACTATCAACTATGAGACATGCTTTTGACATGAGCTAGGTCACACCATTTTCGTACGACCCAAGTATACCTCAATCATCAACACAGGTTGCCGACATTGATGATTTACACATCGTTGACAGATTTTGATTAAAATACACTGTGCACTAATTATCCATGGCAGTGAACTTTGTCTTTTTGGCATCGGAGTTGTTTATGAATAAGCATTTAACTCTGAATACAATTGTAAGACTTATTGGTAGAAAACGTGCAAGTAGTTTCATATGTCACATTTTGGATGAATTACTGAAATACTGTATCCGCGCACCACTCTCATTTAAAGACGAAACTTTAATAAACTTTCCACCAACAATATCCGTCATCTATTTTAGTTCGTTCTACACTTATGTAGTTCTTTGTTATTGTTGTTGTCGTTCATGAATCTTGTCATATTACTTGATAGAACTTGGGGTACATATTTCGATAAAGTCATTACTTACAAAGTGTGATGGTATAAAACTAGACTGGATACAAACATAAGACACTACGAAAGTAAAATACTTCTTGGAGCTTTTGAAGAAACTTTAATCCAAGGAAAATGAAAAAACTTTGGTGGATGTTTTACACATAAAAAATATTCATGCATTAAGTTCTCATTAGGTTAGAAATTATAAGTGAGAGGCATGGTTCTCTTAGATGAAACTTTTCACCAAACATTTTTCCCTCGTATATCTATAATACATATACATTCATAGAACATATTCGATCTGATTTACAAGGTTATGGAACTAATTTCGGCAGTTAGGTGATCTATACTTGAAAAATAAATAAGTCATTTTTCAAAACGCGAGTTAGATCCAACGGAAGCTTATTCTTTTGAACAACTAGAAATTATCTGGATGAGGCAGAGCGAATTTTTGAGTTCGACAAAAGGGTCAAAAACAGAAAATATTTTGGTTACAGAAATAAGCAGATAATTATTTCATACATCGATTGTATATGTTTCAAAACAATAGTTTGAAGACGAATAAAATTGTTTGGCAAGCGACAGGCACTAATTCAATACTCGTGATCATTTACAAGCATACGTAGGGTAAAGGATATTAGATGTCTGAAGCCAGTTTGGTTGACGTACAGTGAATTTTCTAATGAGTTACGTGCAGTTTTCCTCATACAACAATTTAGCATAATAATTTCTATCACATGTTAATTACTTGTCGTGTTTTCGGAGCCATCACCCTCACTAACGATGGAAGACAGTCCTGCAGCCAGATTCGTCAGAGCTATCTGTATTTTTGGGTCTTGTAACATTGATTTATCATCACCCTATTGAATAAACAATTTATGTACTCTTACTTTTAGTAACAAAGGCGCGAATAATTTGCTGATAGAGTTGTAGAAACTAAGAACTGGAGAACCAGGAATTGAACAAACCATAACGTTTGTTTTGTAATTTTTCTCATTTATGTAGGTTGGTTGTAATTTGACAAACACGAGCATTTGTTTTGTGTTGTCATGATGTACAATCTACTATAACCATTTCTTTAAATATGAACTCACCTCGTTAAAGAACAATAAACTTCCGTTTTTTTCGAGATAGCAAGCAAGAGTAAAAATATTTAGGCAATCTAAAAAACTACTGACATGTCTTTCATTTTCAAGCTCATTCAAGTTTATACTGTCCAGCTGGAAATACGTTTGAGCAGTAGAAAATATAAATTGTGATCTCGGATCCATGAAATAAGGTTTTGCGCTCTTATTTCTAATTAGAGTACAAATGTTTCATTTACACAGCCGTAGTTGTGCCTATTGTTTACTTTTCATATAAACGCTAGTTTCGTAACCCAACAAAACAAACCGAAAACCTCATCAACCGTGAATTTCAAAAGTGGTTTGTAGGTGGTTTTATGTTAACGACCAAACTACTTTTGTTTGAAGAAAAGCGATGGTGTTCGAAATGAATGTTTTTATGTCATTCGGCACGACGACGAGAAAACTCTAAAGTTGGCTACTTCGTTTGTGTGGGAGGAATGAATGTAGGTCTAAAAATCCGATTATATTTAGTCAAATAATGGAGATTAAATGCTGAAAATACTGTAAAATTAAGATCGCATTGATAGAAATAACACAAAGAATTCGAGGAGACAGATGTCTTGTTTAGATTTTCACGTATTGTTTCATAAATATGGTTCTGTTTTTCGGCATAGTAGGTGGTACGAGAGAGAAACTTTCGCAATACGAAATGACCAGGCTAGCCTCCCAATGCCGTGACATTGAGAGTTCAGACAAGCGTCTGAATTATCCATAAACAATTTAAACGACTGACGAATATTGAGATGGACAATCTGAAAGCATCATGAAGTAGCTTAAATAAGATATTATGCTGAATTGAATTTATTATTTCATTTCCATAGTTTTTAAAAGAGTATGACGCTGGTAAAAAAAGACCTGAAGAGTCAGTGATAAAGTACCACTAAAGTTCATCATTATTTTGATATTATAGTTGATGTCTGTTTCATTTATATGATGACAACGACAAGATACTTAAAAAGTCTGTTTTGTTTGTTCCTTCTTTTTTGTGCAAATGCAAAAAGCATTTTCAAAAGACGGAACTCAAGTATCACGTGGAAGCTCTAGACAGGTTGAGCTAAGAGACCTATTGTGCTCAGCAGAGCATCTTGGTAACAGGTTTCTCATTCCCTTTTTATCTAACAATCCCGAAGTTACTTCCTCAGGCAGACGATTTATTACCACATATGATGCATCATCATCTAATTGAGCAAGCAATACCTATACTGCTGGTGTTTCCATGGTTTTATGAGACAAAATATTCAGGTTTTCGTGGGACAACGCTCATTAAATCTTCGAGTTTAAGATGATCGGTATTTTTATCTTGTCATACTTTACTAAAAAGTCCGTTTAAGTGATTAGATCTTCGAGCGTATATGTAGCTCGTATCTGTTTGAGCATACGAACCTAAAGATGTCATAGGTATTCGGGGTTTGACAACACCTTTACACACAACCCCTCTTCAATCAAAGTATACAGACCGGGTCAAATCGGAAGTCAGAAATGAAAGGGTTCGAAATATATTCGGAAGGTTATCGATATATCGAGAAGCGCTTGTTCAAAGCTGACTAGCAGTTGCATGGGATGTGCGAAACATCGTATCCACCCGTGATTTGGTTCATGACATAGCGCTTTTAACTAGGGTGTGTCCAACAAAACTACTAGGGTCAGCATCAATTTCGATGACTTACAGAACTATTTATTTTGAGGATTCATCTACACGGCTCACCTTCTAGTGGGACAGTGAAGACACTAAGACGTTATAAGCTTGAAGTTTAACCCCAAAGAGCCGGTCGTTAACAGACACTATTCTAATAGCTTTCTATATTCAGTAGCACATTATAGTTTTTTCCTTATATAAGGAGACGTGTGGTAAAATATGGCAATAAAAAATGTACAATGAAATTTTCTATTCATCGCATTTTTCATCTTTTCAAGAATTGCTGGAAGGCGAAGAAGAAAAGAACAAAGGAATCTGCAAGCGTATGTCGAAATGCACTGGCAAGTGCGTAAGAACACGAAGCATGCAAATAAAGAAAAAGAAATTGGTATACAAAAGTATAGAAAAAATGCGATGAATAACAATTTCTTCACAATGATGTTTTTCTGGATACATACACATGTACTAGCATATTAAAACAAGGTGTTTTGTTTTTGACACCACATTACAAAGAAATCAGATAAAACAAAAGGTTATGCAGTGTGTTACGCTAAGTAATCGTTTAAGCGTCCCAGGAACCTTTTCCTTCTACCAGAGCCCGTTGAGTTAAGTCCGTTATCAGATACCGGCAAAGTTTCGTCGTGACTGTTGCTTATCGAGGAAGATATCGTAATTGTTAGGCTAGTGTCATTCTAGTGTACATGAGGAACATCAACATCATTAAGGATCCCTTCTATGCACACAGCTTTGAGAGGATCAATATTGACGTCATTGTTAGTTTCATTTTTATCGAGGATATAAGTATTTAGGTTTGTGATGAAGGACTTACATTATGCTCGCTTCCAGAGTAGTCAACGCATTCGCTGCTTGACGACCATTACATTGACATACCGTATGTCACTGAAGTCTTTTAATGGAAACTTGGCATGTCAGACTTATAGAGGATAACTTTTGTCGGTTGAATCCTTTATTCTATAGTTTCTCTTACGATATGGGTAGACCAAGAGTCACCCCGCTTCCATCATTTGTAGAAATTTACTAGCAATCAGATGAACCTCAAGAGGTTCCGTTCAAATCGTAGGGTTTAACATTCCTGAGAGTCTTTTTCAGAAGGACACTGTCGGCTGCTAATTGATTAGGAGTACGCTTGATTGCTTTGTTGAGGGGCTACTTCACTCAAAGCCAGCGTAAAATGGGGCTCGGATACGTTTACACAAACGCCTAGAATAGCTTATTCTTCACCTTTCAATAACCCTATTAGCCCCAGAAGTCAACGCACAATCTTTTGAATCGATATGACAAGTAAAGATTAATAGAATAGTTAACTTTAAGTTAAAGAGTCCAGTGAGTACATCTGAATGCATTAGTGAGCAATGACTGATCCACAAACGGATCATTATTGTGTAGCAAACTACACTGAATTACTTTTAAAACTCTTAGTTAGATTCGGAAAATCTGCCAGTACTTCTTAAAACTTCTCAGCTACTACGGGCGAAGTTTCTACCAAAGTTAAATAAATGACTTGACCTTGATTGCCAATTATTATCTCGATATCTCTCAACGTGTCTGATAAAGTTCCTTTATGTAGTCTAAATGTTCATATTTGTCTATGGCGCTTATTGCAGTTATTACTAGATAAGAGTCTGAGATGAACACCCAAGACGATCGTTTTTAAATCTAATGTCAAAGTTTTGTGTGCGGAAGTTTCGATTTAGGTATTTTTAGCAGGAGAGTTTGTCGTTAGGTTTCAGTTTCATTTTGAAGAATGAATCTAGGCACCACACCTGTATCCACTGGAAATTCAGTGTCGGAATTCCCGTCTCTGGCGTCTACTTAGACACCACTTAGTAGTTGTCACAACGTCTAGAAAAGTTATTTGTTCTCCACATTCTTACGGGTCTGTTTGAGCTAAACGCATGGTTGACTAAATATGATCGATCAGGCACCGAATTTTCAGTGGTACTGATAAAGCTTTTTCACATTTTTATACGGTACTGACCTGCTTTTCGAACCTGAACTTTGTCGCTGCGGTAACGTCTTCTGTTGCCTACAACAAATTTACAGTTAGACAGTGGTCTCTGACAGACCATCGACCTATTCACTAAGTTCTTTTGTGCATGGGTCATCGGGTAGTTTATTTTTAGGTAGGATTTATGGTGAGGTGTCCAGGTATATACACTTGGGCGGTTTTAGATATAATACAGAACGGTCTGTATCCATTATCTTTTTGGAACTGCTTCACTCACGATCGTGATCTAAAGCTTAATGTTCCTCCGTGAAAACACCGTTGGATTCTTTGGCCATCTGATGTTCCAATATCTCGCATCCTATGGGAGTAATTGATCGTGATGTCTGGTCACTCAAAGTCAAATCATGGAGTTTTTCACTGACTGAAGAGTGAAGAACAGGGCAAGAATCCTGATATAACATTCCAATGGACTTTGTGCTGAACATGGGGAAGTAATTCTTCAAACTTCATCAAACTACAGCTGAGAGCCGTCACAGTGAAAAATGAGAGTCGTGGTTTCATAGTCACAACACTGTCTACTTATACCAGTGGGAAACTGTGCTCATTTTCATTATTATCACTTTGTATTGAATTGGAAGGCTTACGATCCTGATCAGTATCTTAACGACATAAAAACCGAGAAAAATAAGCTCCATACTAACGGTGAAAACAAATTGTTTTTAAATGAATACCAGTGCAACTATTAACCACAACAGTTCATCAAAGAGTAGTCTTTTTATAAGTACACATAAAATGTTTAAGATATTGCTTGCCGTCGCTGTTTTTCCCATTTTTACCCTTTGATTGGCTTGGAGAACAAAAGGGTTATTCCAAACAAGTGATTACGCATGTATTGGACAACTCATGTGATATTATTTTGTGGATAACAGAAAGCTAAAGGACTTCAGCTTACTATCTGTTGAATCTAACTCTCATAGATATGGCTTTTGCGACCCAGTATACTGCCGTACACAAAGTGCTGATAAGGGCATGGTCAAAACAGGCTAACTATATGAGGTCATGAATTTTCATGTTTCTATGACACACATCAATGCTCAAGCTACTAAAATCAAATCAGTACAGTCATAACACAGAGATAACAACAAAACACATGCGTCGAACGGTGGTGGAACTGTATATTTGAAAATCACAAGAATTTCAATCTAAATGTGACCCGTTTTAGGAAAGCCGCTGAAGAAAATTTTGGGGAAATTTCCCAATCTTTACCCTAAATTTCCTCGGAATCTTATTAACATTTTGGAGAAATGGGTCTGTTTATTTATAAAACCGCAAAATTTTCGACAGATATCACGGAAAAACCTGGTTATAATAACTACCTAGAGGTTTCCACTCAGATATTCCATTTTTTCCTGTCAATTACGCACGGTAAACGCAGTGCCAAAAAAGCTTAACAACAGATGGCCTTGTTATAGTCGATTAGTGCATACTGACTGATTAGCATCCACAGAATTAAGACCAGATCTCACTTCGTTTTACCGTTTCCTACCAGAAGACACTTGTTTACGATCCCGCAATGACCAAGCTATTTACAGTGTGGCCAAATATCTATTTGCAGGGACTTATTACCAGACCAAGTAGGCCTAACTCG